GTTGAAAGAATAATATTAATCACTTTGATAATTTCATAAAATGCTATAGCCTCAAACATCATCCTGCTACAGTTTTGTGCTTCATGACTGACCAGCCTTTAACCAGCATATGCTATGGATTCCTAAGAATCAAGGTCATCTACAGCTATATAATGACTTTATGAAATTATCCAAGTAATCAATAATATTTTTCCAAGTCATAAGAAAGAAATAAAATGATATGTGAGTTACTAAATATTAATAGAATAGGGGAATAATCAAAGGAATAATGAAGGAATTATAAAAAAGGTAAAGGTAATTAAAAAAGGAGTAAGGTAATTATTAATTTCACTTTTGTCTTTGTTTTGTAGAATCTTGGTGATGCAGCACAGTTAAATCATGATGGGATAAGGGGGATACATAATGGAGTGCAATTTTGTATCGGAACAAGATTAGGACATGTAGGTACATGTATGCTAGTAGGTTTTATGGCATCAAAGTATATATTAACCATGTCTCTTTTTCTTTGTAGAGGTATCGTCACCATTACGCGACCAATCGCGATGATCAGTGAGGATCGTGGGTTCGTCAAAGTCAGTCTTAATGTGGCTTCATTGGTTGGTTTGGCGGTGATAAGCTCTTCTGTAGGCTTCTATTTTTCCTTTCTGTCATTGTCTACGTCATGCTGCTGGTGGTGGTGGTATCATTATCATCGGAGGAGCATGATTATGATCACTATTATAACGGCATTTATCTTCGGGGCAGTCATTGTCATTACGGTACTGGATACTTGAATATCTTGTCGTTATTATATCTTCGGCCATTGATTTATAACATCAAACTCATGGACAGATTTGTTAATCGATAACTCCAACAACGCGATTCGGTCAAGCAATTCCTGTTCACAACTCGAAGTGGTGGTTGATGGGGTTGGTCAACTTGGAATCATGGTCGTTGCAATAATTCTTCTTGATGATGATGGTGGTGTTTATAACCATCATTGTTGTCATCATCCTTACCATGATGGTGGTATGACAGTGATGGTGGTACTTTCCATAGTAGTTGTCATTATTATTGCAATGAGGGTGAGACGTATGTGATTTCTCGTGGAGGGGAGGCACGCAATCATGATTATGATCGTGATCATGATTATGACAGCATCCCGGCATTTGATCTTTGGGGCTGTCGTAAGTATTTTCTTTTTCGAATTTAGTCAGAAACATAGGACTTAATAGTCTAAATCCATCAGACTCCATCCAATGCTTTTTATATAGTTGATGTTTTGCTTGTAGCAATACTCTTTTTGTCTCAATGAACTCTATATCCCTAATTGCCGGTCTCGTTAACAACTTCCCAGTGATAGATTTGAGAACACGATAAGGTTCCGAAGAAAGATTAGGATAAGAATTTCCCATGGGTACGTCGGACAAAAGGTATAACTTTGATTGATTGTAAAATAGCGCCACGCCTTAGTTTTTCCATCCGTTCAGATTCTACAAGTGGGTCATAGGTGGACCAGCCATCGGTTGAGTATATCACTTTCACTAGTTTTCCTAAACTCTCTCTTATCACATGAATATTATCAATTCATATGTTTTTTTTTTTTTTTTTTGAAAAGGTAACTATGCAAAGACAAAGCATAAGATTTCAGCTAGAATATATGTCGTGAATCTGGGAATTTCGATTCGATCATGGTGTTGATTATTGTGATGGGGGCTTGTCGGAGCATTAGACTTTCCTTGCTGCTCTGACATCTTTGAGAATATATATGCATGCATATATATTCTA